TCAACGCTCCCACAGATTTTTGTTGCTTTTCTTTCCACTTTCAGGTTGTTCCGTAGCTGAGCTATCACTACGAAACGCTCATAGCCCCATTTTAATCCCGGGGTTCGCCTTTAAGTGTATCGAAATAAATAGGATTAATAAACATTGAGGTTTTTGTTCCTTTTTAATATGAAATCCAACGACCGAAGGGTGGAGAGAAAGAAGCGCCGTCGTGAATGTGTTGATCATCCTTCATACCATCCTGCTGTTGCTTATTTTTTGTTGCATATTGTTGTCGTTGTACGTTTCTCGTTTGGATCAGGCTGTGTCGTTCCGCAGTGTTCCTTTGTCTTAATATTCTTCCGCCTACCGGCTATTGTACATGTCCTTTAGGTAACAAAAATATAGCACAACATAAATGCTTCGAATTTTCTAAGCTCTGGCGGACGCGAGAGGTCGGAACGTAAGCCCCATGACGAGATTATAATGTTCCCTTCCGGCGCTTCCATTCCGTAACCCCACACGCGAAAAATTAGCCGTCACGTCTAGTGCTAATAGTGCCGGCGCACACAAGGCACTCTGTCCTACGCGCAAACGAAACACGCTAGGCAACTTCGCGCGCGGGGTGAAGTGCCTTATGTGCACCTGCACCATTAACACCAAACCTGACGGCTAATTCTTCGCGTGTGGGATTATGGTATGGAAGCGTCGGAACATTATAATCTTGTAGCCCCATGAGAAGCGCTGTAATCTTTCACAGCTACATATTCATCAAATCTAATTCTTCAATTTTTGCAGGGAAAAACTTTCCAGACCAGCAACTACTCCTTTACTTTCCAAATGGGAATAACAGATTGTGTGAGTGCCATGTAGGCTACAATTCCCAACCGATGCGTCCGGCAGTTTGTCACTTATTCTTTTAACGAACCTTCAATCAAGATAGTCGAATAAGGTTCAGAAAGACGGGCAATAAGGCCCAGAAGAGAACTTTGATTACGTTCACTGGTGAGTGTGTGGAATTTCCGTTAAGGGCGTGTCCTTCTCTGGCATTAGTGATCATTGTAATTTGACTGACATACTAAAACCCTCAAATTAGGTCACCGTGATGGCTACAGCTAATGTGTACCTAAGTAGCAATTACGGCAAAAAAGTAGCGCTTAGACAGTATAACCACGTCTAATCGAGTATACAATAATAAAATAATAAAATAAATAATAATAAATAAATAAATAATATAAATAATAATAATAATAATAAATAATAAATAATAATAATAATAATTATATAATAAAATAAATAAAATAAAATAAAAAAAATAAAATAACAATAATAATAAGCTCAGAACTATGGCTCCAGTTTATTTTTGTTCAGTGGGTACGTTATACTGTGTGGGGCAAGATAACAGAATCCAAACAAGGGCACGAACCCGCCAACTTTTTGTACATTCCGTTTTTCTAGAAACCGCACTTTCATTTCCTGTTGCGCTGTGATGTTTTTTTTCCATTCCCACAACAGCTTTGCACCTACCTTTGGGCTCATAAATCGGATCAATATTGCAGCTCAGCTCCAACTTGGAATGTTGAAACTTCATGCTGATCTGCTTCGAATTCTGCGTCAGCACATTGGAAAATAAGCTACAAAAGTAACAACGAGAGTCATGCGACCACTAACGGTCTTTCTGCGTGAACGAGAACTCAAGCGACCTATGCCCTGTGTGAGCAAGGGGGGGGGGCTGCAGCGAATAAGCTTCGTGCGGGTACATTCGAAAAAATGAGGATAAAAAATTGTTGCTTTCTCAAACTGGATTTCCGTGTTAATATTCAGATTCGCGTTTATATGTGTCACAATTTGTCTGTAGAGCCTTTTCAAAAACATCCCCAGATTCAAGTTTTTGGGAAATTTGTAGGTGGAACTATAATTATGCGTCGCAGTGTATAGTGATCGACCGTTCAAAACTGTGTCCTATAGTTCCCGAAGAAAAGTTTCTACGCGTCGCTCGGGTATTTCTAGAGGGGAGTGTGCTCCTCAATTCCTAGTTGGGATCAATCGTTTGAATTTGACCAAATGTAATTCACTGCGTTCGAGTGTGGACGAAAGTGACTTTTGCCCACCCCCTCCCGTATACAGGATTTAGGTGGCATGAATCCCTACTTGTGAAATGATCACCCTTTACCAGCTAGTTACTGATCAAGTTCGCAGAACACACCCTCGTCCACTCTACCCTCGCCTTCAAATAACCAGAAAATGTGCAATTGCAGAAATTGACGTGGCATTGACGTGGCATCGAATCAAGAACATCTTTGAGCACACGTGACGTCACCTTTTCATCGAGAATTTAGCCACGTGTGCCACGTGGATTTCTGGCTGCATGAAACGGAGTGTAGATGGTTAATCATTAGCATGCGCGCGGGGTGGATCGGGCCAATGCTGAAAAACGGCGACATATCAAGCCGAGGAGGCGCACCGATGCTACTAATTCACTTCCCAGCTCCATGGACTTTTGGCAGCGTTTCAGGTTTGAAACGATGTTTCGATGTCCCACCCCTCATCGCAACTGTCTATGGGTCATGATTACAACTTTCTATGCGGCGTACGTACTAAGCTAGTGACAAGAGACAGCTTAGTGATCGATAATTATTCTTAAAAATTGCCCGAAAATACAGGGCTTTAGGAGGAACAACTCAAGAAGTTCTGCACATTTTTTATGATGTCATGTTTTTACCTCTTTCGGTATCATTAAACTGGTATGCAGCGAATGCAAAACCCACAGTTTTTCTCTAATCACTGGACTGATTTCTTCATGCTGCTCCTTGCAAAAGCCCATTTCCCAAGAACGCCTGGTCCCATCTCGCTGTGGATTGAGGATGAGGTGTGTCGAAAAGTAGGAGAGATGAAGGAGGCCGAAGGTCCAGATGGGGTGCCAATAGGGGCATGGAAAGCGCTTGGAGAGTAGGGGGGATCAGATGATCACCCGCATTTCTGAACACCTGTGACTACGAAAGCGAAGTATGCGGAATTCCTGGAAAACAAGCGCTGTCGTCCTCATCTCCAAGCAGAAAAGGCGACGCGATGGACCGCTCCAACTTCCAAGGGATCAAGTTCCCTGCTCGTACAACGAAGCCGTACTGCTCGACTCGAAGCTGAGGGTGCTGTGCGTGGATCTTTCCAGGCATCAAACAGTACGCTGTTTCATTCCTGGAAGAAACACAACGGGTGCGATCTTCACAGCTGGGCAAGTGATGGAGAAGTATTGAGAAAAGCGTCGATACTGCTACCTAGCCTTCCTCAAACTGAAGAAGGCGTTCGATCGGCTACCGCGAGCTGTACGATGGAGATCACTCAGAGAATGGAACGTGCCAGAACACGTGATCTCTCTAATGAAGGACATGTGCCATGGGGCTAAGGCAGTCATATGCACCCCACATGGCCAAACGAAGGAGGTGGACATCACGGTTGAGGTGCACCAAGGATCAGCACTGAGCCCGTTCCTCTTCCTCCTGACACTAGATGTCCTGGTGAAAGGGCTCATGGAAGGACCGCTTGAATGACGGCATGTGGATAATCCTTCTACGCTGACGACAGTTGCTTGATAGTAGAGAGGAACTTCAAGCCAAGGTGCAGAAATGGCAGAAAGTCCTGACAGAAGGTGGGCTACGGCTGAATGTCAAGAAGACCAAGTTCCTGAGCTCCGAAGAGGGTGCAGAGTCGATCGTGGACGGCCATGGTGAGACCATCGAAAGGTGGAGGACTTCACTACCTGGAGGTTGGCAGCCGACGGGAGTGTGGATCAGGCGGTGAAGGCTCAGGTCAGCGCTGTATGGACGAAATGGATGGAGTTCACTGGAATTCTCTGCGATGAAGGTTCTCTAGAATGTCAAAAGGAAAGTGTACAGGACTGCTGTGAGGCCTGCAATGCTATATGGCAGTAAGTGCTGGCCTCTGACAAAGAATCACGAAAGGGCCTTCCACTTCTCTTGCATGAGGATACTGAGATGGGCTTGCGGTTGGCCGAGACCGAACAACGTCAGAGAAGAGTGTCAAATCGGTGATGCAGGCTTCCCTATCCAGCTGAAGGAGAGGGAACAACGACTGCGATGGTATGCGCACGCGCTAAGGAGGCCGCAGAATCACCCGTTAAGCAAGCGGTTGCAAGGAGCCCCAAAGAAAAGGTGACGAGACGTTATCAATAAGGTCCTAATTGAAGTCAGGGTCACGGCAGAAGATGCCTTGGATAGAGCAACATGGCGACCGCTGACAAAGACAGCGGTCCCTGCGACTGTGCTTGACTAACATTAGGGAAAAGAAGAAACTCTGAATAACCCCTGAGGATTTCCTAAATAAATAGATTTCTTCAATTTCGATTCGAGTAGACAGCATCAGTCTACATACAATCGGCCAAGAAACAGCATTCCCCTGAAGACCGTCCGCCTCCTTATCGTTTTACGTCAAACAGCGATGTTCGGAAGAAAGAAACTTTGATAGACCCATAATTATGTACATTGGTTTTTTCCCAGTAACCGAATACGAGACTCCCCCAATGACAATACTAGTTCGACGACACACGACGAGTAAAAGCTACAAATCAATGATTATTCATGACGAGACCATCAATGCTTGCCAGTGTAGGTAAAGAAAAATTCCGTATCAACAATAAAGATTAGATTTGAAATCCATTTGTGAGAAGGTCAAGTCCCGAGCAGAAGCCTAAACATACCACAATGTGAATTGGAACCACTGATCATGAGGCTTGAAAACTCTTGCTATACTAGCAAAGATAGAAGGCGAATTAAAAATGACGAATTAACAATATTCAACGTGACGTAATTGAACACGTTCCCGTAGCACACGTTATTAGGCCCGAACCAGCGCGGGGCTTTTTTTAATATTTAGCATGACTGCATTAAACGATTAGCAAGTCAACTGGGGAGTTATAGAGGAAACTTTGAAAATGTCGCGAGAAATGAGGAAATATTTAATGTAAAAGGCGACCAATCTGAAAATAAACACGACAAATTTAAATACTAATGTAATCCTAGGGTGCTCTTTGTTTCTTCAGCGAAGTAACGAACGTCAAAATCGGCATCGTTGCATAAATTCAACAGAATTGGCTTGATTTCGTTTTGAAGCAGGCTGAAAAACCACAAATTTATTTATTTATTTATTTACATTTGTACATTTACAAACCAAACGAAAACGCAAACAAACCAAACGAAAACGCAACAATAATCTCGGAGAATGCATAACCAAAGCGCCATTTAGAAGAAAACTTTAGAATTTCTCAACAAATTTTCAGAAATATGAACTTTCTAGTACTTGAAACGGAGTTCCACGTCGACAAAGAATAACATAGTGGTACGCACGTGCCATGGGGAATGAAAGCTTAAGCTGGCATCAAAAGAGCTAGACTAATATTTCAACCAGGTAATAAATTAGTGCGTTGAAGAAAACCTATAAATCAAACTTCTCAACTGGTGGATTATTTTGAACGAATTGCATACCCTATACAGCTCGTCAATGCGTGCACTCTATTCACACCCCGCTCGGAGTATACACGACCTATAGTTAGGGTGAAAATCGGTCGAAGATTCGTCGACGCCTTGTCGAGGATTTTCACTTGTGTTGTCTCACTCTCACGCGTGAACATTCACTCTCGCCACGGCAAGTCGTCTGTGCGCGTACATTCATTGCCGACACTATTCTCACATACTACAGAGCTATAGTCAAATATTTCCTCGACCGCCATTCACCCTAGAGTGCGTCTCAAAAGTCTTGGTTCATCCCAATTTTCTCCGATATCTCTGGAACAACTTTTTCTCCAAGTTTTCACCAGCCATACACTGGGTGAACTGTGTTGGAATGCCATGAGTAGACCTGGATAATAACAAATACGGATTCTTTTAATTTTCTTTCGAAAATATTATGGTGTCCAAAAATCATAGATTCACTTGGGTATTCTACTTTTTTGAGGAAAGTCTTGCTCGCTTCCACTTGAATAGTCTCATATTTTATCAACTCAGCTCCAATCAGATATCGCTGGTGAAAATTTGGAGCTAAATCATTCAGTTCTTACAGGTGATATAGGAAAAAGAGGTGAATCCACACTTTCGGGACACACTTCCGTTCTAAATGGATCACGAGAATAAATTAATTCTCAACAAACCTTGCATCCACCACTTTTCCAATCTTCAATAATCCCTTCGCCACATTCAATCGTACGTTTGGTATGTTATCTTCACTGAGCTGAAAAGGGAAATGTCATGGTTCGGATGAGTAAACCGGAACGAACAGTTCAATCTCTACTGAAGCCCAACCTCCTTGATCACTGGCATGATTTCTTTTGCAGTTCGTTCGGGCCCTACAGCTGCGGCAAGTGAATTGAGACAAAACAGGCAAGTCATACGATGCAGGTAGTTGGGATCCTGTAAAGTCATGTTGTTGAGTAATGGTCTTTGAATTGAGCATTAAGCTTACCTTAGACAAGGTGAGCACTTTGGGCATTATATTCTTCGTTGCCCACACGCCACCGAATCTCCCAGCAAGCTCAGTGAGAATGACCGTTGCAGCTTCACGGATTGCATAAACTGTAAGGAGAGAAGTTGGTAATGGATGTTGATTCAAACTACTCAATCTACTCACCATGAGGTAGCAAATTTTTCAGTCGAATAGAACGCTTGTTGCCCCTGAATTGAAAAAATAAAATTGAGTAAAATAAGATAGGCTGAGTGTGGTTCAGCAGGCCAAGGAGCAGCTTTTTCGCGTTCCGCAGCGCGAAACATCTTTCGCTGCGAGAACCAGGGTGAATAACGGTCGGGGATTTCCTCATCAACCATAGCTCTCTACCATGCGAGAGTCGTGGCGAGTGCAGAGTCGAGAGTGAACATCCGCGCGGAGAGCACAGACGGCACGCCGCATGGCGAGTGTGAATGTCCGCGCGAGAGATCGTGTCTGACCGGGCAGAGAATCCTCGACGTGCCGTTGAGGAATCCCAAGCGATATTCACCCTGCTCCTTACTGGGAACCAGTTCACCGCTGATCATCAATGGATTCAAGGTTCCTGCAGCGAAAAATGTTTCGCGAAGCAAAACGCGAAAAAAAGGCGCTTTCCCCTGACAGGTTTAAGTACGTACAGTAACACATTCACGACGACGCGCGTTTTTCGCTTTTTGGTCGTGGGTGGGACGAGCGTTTTGGGGAACACTGCTACCTTGCCTCGACTGCTGTATAGTGTTAGGATAATCTATATTTATATTCTATTAATGTCACAAAGTAGTTCTAGCGATGGTCAATACCCGAAAGGGATAGAGGAGCGTTAGAGTGGGATTTTGAGAAAATTCAATATGGCAGAAAAAACCTTTCTAACCAAAGCACGTCTATTCTTACAGTGGATCACGATGTTTACAGTTATATATAATTCCTTGATCATTTCGTTGACTTCGAACATATTCAAGGAAATTACGACATCAGCAGGCAAGCAGGCAACTGCCTGTCAGGGCATATGGGCTGTCATCGTCCCACGAGCTGGCAGTCCATTTGGACCGCCATCGAGTTGAATGTGATCAAGACACTCACGAGCTGTGCTGCAAGAAGAGGCATGAGCTGAACAATCGGCCAGTCTAACGCGCCATTCTCCATCCTCTGCAAGTTCAACGATAGCTGGAAAAAGGGACTGCGAAAGCTGCGATGTCCCGATGACATCGTTGACCTGAAAAGAGAGAGCTTGAAGCAAAGTCCCAGCAGGGTTTTTACCTTCCATACTAGCGATGTGGAACGATGCGCTGGCCTCTAGTCAAGAACGTAAGAACTGTGATTGAAGAAAAAGCTCACACTTGGAACGCTGCTAAAAGGGAGCTGAACGGCTCGAAGTGGGTGTGGTTGGAATCGGGGCTGCAATCCTCTTTTCGGCTCTGGTATTTTCCCAGCCAAGCCACTTCGGAGCGTCACCAGCTCAACTTCTAGGGCAGCTTTTTCGATAGGAGACTTTAGTGTTCGTCTATGAACATTCTTACGTTCTGGCTAGGGCCAGCGGCCATCGTTCCACACCATTGATGTGGTAGGAACGTGAAAAACTCTATTGGCCACTATTGATTTAACTGTGAGTATCCTGCTAGGTTCGCTATAAAGGCTGAAACTCAAAAACAAACCTTGTTGAGGCTGCTTATGATATTGAGACGGACTTCGGCAGTGCTGTCCTTCAGTAGCTGCATAAAATGGGCAGAAGGTGAGGAAGAAAGTGTGTTCTCTTTTCCAACAAGCGGTGCCAAATCCATTATCACGCCCGCAAGCTCAGCCTTCACGTGCTGCAACAAACCTCGAGCATTCCACTGAAAAATTTGCAGGCGTCCGCTATAAAGCGGAATTGGCTCATAAAAAACACTTGATTTGGATCAGTGACCAATTCCTTAACGACTTGGCAGAATGTTGTTGAGAATAGCCGACTCTCTTGTGCTCTTCTTCAGGTTGGCGCAGAAAGCTGAAAACCATTATGAGCCTCGCTGCCATAGCGTGGTTCAAGTTTAACGCGTACTGTTCAATTTCTGAGCTGCTGCACCGCGGACTTCTCCTTCAGGATCCTTTAGAAGACTAGTGAACGCAGGAACAAGGTCAATCATTGTCATTTCTTCACCGATACCCTCTTGGATCTGCAGCAAGAGATACAGTCATTGTCCAATCTCTCTCCTCACTTACCTATAACACTTAGCTGAATGATACCTCGATCTAATTTCTCCGCTACCATGTACCGTACACGCCAGCTCTTGTCATCGAAGAGACCCATCAGTATTGGACGAACCAGATCACGGCGGCTCTCCTCTGACAACAACCCGGCCATCGCGTCGCGATGGATCCTTCGACGGCAAGTAGACGCACAGAATCCTGGGAATTACCTGAAGAGTTGTTTGTTTCAGAACTTCATAATCTTACCTGTTATGCTTCTGCCAGCTCACAGAACATAGCATATAAGATCATGGAGCGTGGGAGTAGGTTATTGCAGTGTTCAAGCACCTAAAATGAAAGTAAGAATCACACTACATTGCAAACTCATGTAACGTTTGTTAGGGTTCAATTGTGAATTGCGGCAGAATCGTATAAACGTCTGCGCAATCAGCCATATTGTAGTTACAAGGAAAATGTCCACTTTTTTATGCAATCTCGTAAAATCTTGCGCCCCGTCAAAGCCAGCCCTTTGTGAAACAATTTTACTTGTGTGAGATCAAAGCATTTTAGCAGCAAAGTTTTATGTTGTTTGCAGGGCAAAACGTGGTTGAGGGATTCCTCAGTCTGCTCAATTGATTCCGGCACAGACTAATTAAAATTTTCATGCCACCAAAAATGTATGTTCATCTTTACAAGCTGAATTACGAATTCAGCCATTCACGCACCTCATCATCGTTGCCCAAGGAACGACTCGAAGTGCTGTTGATAGCAAAAAAATTATGAGAGCCTGATGTGCATGTTCCGTGAATTGTGAACCTCCCTAGTCTCCCAGACGAAATAGTTTCGATGAGACTTAATGAGACGCCAAGCGTTGGCCATGCTGAAATTCCGCAAACCAGAGCCATCGCCGAGCCAAGGTATAAGTAACCAAACAGACGTTTGGGATTGTCAGCCGAACTTCTTAAGCGTAGCTGCTCAGGTTTTGAGTCGTAATTCAAAGCTAAGGATTGCGATAAAAAGAGGAGTACATGTCGAAGTATATGCGCCATACGGAACAGTTACTTGGTTGAGCTAGGTGTGGCGCTTTCACGACGAAAGATGCCATGGTGCTGGACCGTTGAAGCACTCAAGCACTCGCGGCACAAAAGCGATCCTCCCACTACTTTAGACCAGTTTAGTTGGCGGTTTGGACGACTGTTAGCAGCAACAGCTTAATTGGAGCAAGTCGACTGGTGCATGGACTGGCATGGTGTCACCAAACGCCTTGCGGCAAACTCTCACACGTCCGCCTTCTTAGCCGCAACCCATTCAAGCGACGATCAATGGCCAAACGAGCAGGTCCTCTTTTGCGTTTCTTGACGGAATTTTCCCGACATTGGCGTACCATTGAGCACCTACTGCCCCCCCCCCCTCGTCCCAGGAACTATTACTGAAGGGTCTTTCCAGCAGTTGGCGCTTTTCGTATACGTCGCTGATATTTTTGGCTGTTTGAGCTACATTTGCGCATTGATTAGATTCAGAAAGAAGAATGTCCGAATCTTCGTTTCATCGATTTGCAGTTCCTTACATACTAGGTAGTTGTTGAAAATCTCCAAAAGTACGTGTATTGATATACTTCCTAGTCAATAAAAGAAGCATGGTCTGTCTAAAGTATATATCTCAGCATCATTGTTACTTATTCTGAGATAGAACAGTGGAAAATTAAAATCGCACGGATTCAATTGACAACCCGATGTATTAGGTTGTCGGGAAAATTCTTGCCGTTTTTGATCCTGAAATTTGAAATTGCATATCTGGACTCCATCGCAACGTTTTCGCTCGTAATAAAAATCAAATAAATTACGATCTCCTACCAACATTAACTGAGTTTAATTAATCCGCTCGTTGAAAGTAGGCTGAAAGAGGCGACGTTTGAAAAAGTAGCAGAGAATAGTTAATAATTTTAGTGAGTGGGCCGTTCGTGGCAATATTCAGAAGTCTAACTGGTTGTTTTTTTACAGGTCGCTTTTGCGGTCGGCGGCTGAGGTATCGCGGAGAAGGTTCGGCCCATTCATGGTGGCCCTTGCAGGACGCATTTGTTAAGGATTCTATTTTGTGGGGTATTTTGACACCTCCCCTAAAGAATAGTCTCATTTGAATGGTCCCGCCTACACTCAGATAGCTGCCCCTACTGCAGACCGCTCAAAAGCAGCATGACCTTCTCCAGTGCAAATCCAACTTCTGAAGTTTTGTTGACAGTACTCGTGATCGAACTTCTCGGATGAGGGTCATAGCTTATTGCGAATAATCCGTTCTACATAGCGTATCACAATCCGGACGATAACGGGTCGTTTTCATCTAATGAAGGAAAGTATAAATCTCGAAAGAGCTCTTCGGGAACACTTTTTCTGCGACACTTCCCCCTATTGATTTTTACAGAAATTTCAAACCACCCTGTGTGACTTGAAAACTTAAATTAATGACGCCAGATGCAGTGGCGGCCTGCTCAGTAGTTGGGAGTACAGTTGATTCCTTTCAGCTAATTTTTACCAGAATTCGATATCCAACGACAATCCTTACTACTTTTGAGGCTCTCAACATTTCTACACAAGCTTTCCCATCAGAATGCGAATTTCGTGAATGCGAGACCAAACGAACACTTAAT